CTCGTCAGTGAACAACGGCTCTGTGTAGTTAATGCTGCTCAATGTGAAAGCCCGCAGGTGATGGAGATTTACCGCTGATTACAGAACCGGCTTTACTGATAAGATGCGCATTAAATATCGCATGCGATTTATCGTGCAGCCCTAAACCACACTTCATTGAAAAAAAAATGGTGTAGAAACTTTTTTTATTTTGAAATTGCTAGTAAATTTCATCAAGTAACACACTGAATTAAACATGAAAAGTAGAAAAACTGAAATAGTATTTTCTTGTAAAACTTACTCCAATAATCTTTATGTACAACACTGAAATACATATAAAACATATAGTGTGTACTTCAATACTGACTTACATTATTCCCTCAAATAATCACGATTATATCAAATAATAATAGATCAGGCTGTTATGTAATAATCATGACAGACCTAGATATATGGGTCAAGAATATGTCTGTCTAGAGATCAGAGTCTTCATGTCTTGTTCTTCAACTGTAAACCAGCTGAAATTCAGAGAATCTTCCAGAAGGCACGAGACAACATAAGAGAACAACATGTAATTTGAGGTTTATTACGTGACTAAAAAGTAATGGTTGTGCGTAAATTGGCACCAAATGCGAATAGGAAAATTAAGGTTGTGCGTCAAGGCTGTGTGTGACTAGGCCAAAGTATTCACACATTCTACCTCATCCTAACACACAAACACACTCACACCATCAGCTGAGGAAGGAAAGTTATGCAGCGAGCTGAAAGAAACAGGCTTTGTGCAGTGATAAAGAAAACCTCCGGGGATTAAACCACGAGCGCTTCAAGCTCACAGCTAACAAGTTCTCCAAGCCCGCACAACAACAAAAAAAGAGAAAGCGAAAGCGAGACGAGGGGTATTTCAGAGATGGATTGTTAAAAAACATCAGTCACTGAAGGGGAAGCTGTATTGGGAATTTACAAGAGTCTCAACAGGTGTTTTACAGACCTTCAGCATTCCTACTCCTCATCCAAAGCTGGTCTAACAGCAGCCTCTCCCTCGAGACCAGAACCACAGACAGGTAGTACGACCTGCTGTAGCTTAAAGAAACTCTCATTAAGAGGTCTGATAATCCCACTTTAGCCACTGAACTGGTTCTTGGGCCTAATCCTCTTTGACTGTGCACCTTGGGGGAGGAAACACGGTGATCCTCACGATTTTTCAATAAACTGCCAAGATGCCTATGGGTCAAAATTTGTATCTTTCATCTTTCAGAGCTTGTAGGTCATAAAATCTTTAATGACCAGTTGGCGGATGCACAATGGTGAATATGGAAGCACTTGGAAACCCACAACTTTCTCAGTCTGATTTTGATGGAGTGGTTTGTTTTTAGCTGAAGGTCCCTGGTGAGAAGCCAAGGCATCTAAATGTAATCACTATTCTCCTATTTATAACGTATTTGAGTCCTACCAATAGTACTGAGTTAATGGGGAAAAACTGGGTCAGCTCGCCTTATTCTGTCCGCCGGGTGAACTGCCAAAGGCCAGAGTGGGCCGGATGAAGCCCAACAGAGAGCACTTCCCCAATCAACAGCATTTTGGAGAAGGATCGATATGATTCTGCATTGACAACTAATGCTTAACTGTTAACTATTAACAAATAATGGTTATTTTGAGACAGATTATGGCTGTCTCTGAAAGCTGAAAAATCATCCTGTCCTGCAAGAGGTCTTCATCTGGTTAGTTTTTGAGGGTATAGCACAAATGTTACCTTTACTGCCTACGATATCTGGGTCAATGACAAACACTGAGGGCAGTGTCGTTCTTGTTAACCACTAAAAACTGTTTTCATTAATTGAAGTAAAAGCTAAAATAAAATACAAATATTAGATGAAAACTAAAACTTGAAAAACTTAGAAAAAAATTAGAAATGCTACTTTGGCCATTAAGTGAAATAAAAGGTGTTTAAGTTAAAGTAATACAATGACTAAAAACTGAAATATAAATAGAAAAAAAATAACAAATGACAAAACCACATCAAATTACTAAAACCTAATCTAAAAGTAAAAAATTAAAATGAACACTAAAGCTAATTCAAAATATTAATACTATTATAAAATAAATATTACTTCACAAGGATTCTTTTTTGTCCCATCCATTCATTTATTCAAAATACATTACAAAATGACCTTCTTTTATGATGTTTTTACATTCAAAATAAAAATTCATTTTTGAGAAAGTCAAAAATATCAGGGTGATACAACTGTCCTGATATCACAACGAAGTAGACAAAAGCCCAATTAAAGAAATTAAATTTCTGAAAAGAAACCCTTACTGAAGTGTTTGGAAATAATCATCTTTTATTAGCTTTTTTTTTTAGAAAAAGTAATATTTTAACAAACATTATTATATAAAGATTAAGATGTATGTTAGACCACATGACATTTTTGAGTCATTAAATTTAAACTTTTTTTAATTTGGAAAACAAAAAAATTCAAACCACATGAAACAGAAATTAATAAACTGACTACTCATCATTGACTCTTCTGCTAAAAAATAAGTATTGCAGCAATAAAAAAAAATCCCATTGTCATATCTTAAGCTCACTTGAATCTGTTGTAGATTATTAGGTGGAACATTATGATGCCTATCTGAAACCAGATTCCTTAGGAGGCACTTTCATGCAAAAACACTACAGTTAAGTCTCTGACTCACTGGGCAGTCGGTTTGGGACACATCCAGAGGGGGCTGTGGACGTGGCCTGTCTGTGGCGAGCAACAGTTTGCTAACACTTCATTCAGTGTAGAGGCAGCGCTCAAATGAGGGCGAGGTCTTAAATACACATACTAAAACATCACATGATCGCTGAGCGAGAGGTGCAGTCATGCAGAACAGAGCACACACACACAACCCGTCTCATTACTGCCCTCAGACAGTGTAGGCTTTATGATGAGGAGGACGCCTTAGCCCAAAGTTCTGATCTCACTAAGTGTACACATGAAACATTATGTACAAACAAAGATTCTGTCATCCGTTACTTACCCTCATGTTGTTCCAAACCTGCAAGACTTTATTTTTCAGTGGAGCACGAAAGGAGATATTTTGAGATTGTGGTGGTTGCTCTTTTCCATGCTATTGTCCCTTCGCAGGGAGCTTGATTGGCAGGTGATCTGACCAATCCCAATGCTGAATCTGCCATTTGGTCTGACAAACAAATCAGACAGGAGAGTAGATTAATGTTGGTGAACTTAAACTTGAAAAATGGTGTACTGACATCTTTCTGCGGTTAAAATAAAACACCTTCTGATGTTCATTCATGTTTATTTCGTGCTGTATAGTAAATATGAAAAGATGATGGGTTCATGTGCCACTTGAACTGAGGCGCTACAGCAATCTGTCACGACACATTAAAGAACCACAAAACGGTATTTACCGTTTTAATTTCTTTAAAAAAATGACAATATTTGAAAGCTAAGACTTTGTTTCATGCCAGAAGTAACCTGCTCAGTCTTGTCTGTTGGTAAGCTGTCAGTTTTCTCTTTGCTCCGCAATGTATTTTTCACTGCGTGAGAACATGATGTGTGGCGTGGCTTGTTGGACATAGCAACAACCCATCATTGCTACTCTATTCTATTAAGATTATCAGTATTTAGGTCTGGTTCTCACACAACACTATCATTTGATTTCAGTAGACACGAAATATGGATCATTTTATGATACTTTTATCTCACTTTTGAGTCTTTTTTGAAGCTTGAAAACTCCGCTCTTCTCTCATGGCAATTGCATGTAAAAGAGCAACCAGCACATTATTCAAAATGTCTCCTTTTGTGTTCCACATACGAAAGCAAGTCACACAATTTTGAGCAACAAGAGGGTGAGTAAAACAGAATTTATGGCCGATTTGAATTGCTCACATTACATACATCAGCAAGGAACAGACACTATTCAACTTAAAGAACATTAAATTATCGAAAGTTGTCACATGGTTCATGAATGTTTACAAAATGGCATATCTTTGCTATGTATCAACTCAATAGGAGAAGAGATAGTGTTTGTGTGCAGAATAGGCAGGGCCCTGCTGTTCTCCTCTTTGAATATCCTCCCATTCATGGTCACGAGTCTAGCATCTAGAGCTCTGTTGATAATCTCGTTCAGAGAAGGCTCCGAATGCATGCATGCACAGCCGCATGTGTTCTTTTTGTTTGCCAGTCTGTGTGTGTGTTGCTGTGTGGGCGCGTGCTTGCATGTGCGCATCCCTCCTGTGGACCCATCTGTTACCGCTGAGGGCATTTTAAAATCTATCACATTTAGCCAAAAGATCTTCAGTATTTTTAGCATAACACACAGTACCTATATGTACAGGACTCTCTTGTTTACTAAATCAAAAGGCAGTAAATATGTCTTATTCTGTTTGGGTCGGACAGCAGGAGATCTCTTGGTGCTGAAAAGCTTGAGAAAACTATTTCCGAATGGATTACAGCAAAGCTCTGGCTACCTCCCAAAGTGGCAGAGAGCTTTAGAAACCAAAACACTCAATCTTTGAGGCAGACTGAGATCCACATGGTTGTCACACCGACAAAGAACAAACAGCTAATGAATACCATCAAGACAATGAGGTTGCCATCGACGCAGACACTCCTGAAAACCACTCACACCTAAATCTTATTGGCAAGTATCCACACCATGGACACAGACAGCAGCACAGAGTCAGCAAAAATAAACCTGCATCTAGAAACCTTCAGAAACCAAACATACTGAGATGAAAACTAGCTTTTTCCTCAGGATGGCTTGTCAAGATGATGCCCGAAACCAAATATAGCAACAGAATGACTCATTTCTCTCAAAAGTCAAAAACCAGTCTGGCACCTCGACAAAAGCGAACATGACTCACCTCTATTGATGTACTGGGCGGGATGTGTTTATCTGTAATGGGGAGAAGAAAAAAGAAAGAGAATCCAATCAGATATGCATTATCATACTCAGTGTTTTAAATTCACATACCACAAATCATTCATTTTTCACATATGTTACAATTTTCTCTTTATCAACAAGCTTGACCATCTAGAGATTGTTTTTTTTTCAATTCTTGGTAGTTGCTAATGTGTCAAGGATTGTTAGGCGGTTGCCAGGGTGTTTGCTAAGTAGGGTTGGGTACCGATGTAGGGTTGGGTACCTATGTAACCGGTATGTACTAGAACCGAATCAGAACGCAGATTTCGGTGCCTCATTTCGGTGCCACTTAAATGCTTGAGCGATCGAATGAAATATTTGTTCTCCGAAACAGATGTAAGGATCACCGTGAAAAATAATTTCCCGACTGAGAAAATTCACAAACGCAAGTCGAAAAGCTCTAATAATACAAATCCAACACATCTTTATAATAACGCGAGTGCCCATGTTGTTTTCACATTCCGACTTAAAAGCACAACTCGGGAAATGAGAGCATCCGAGGAGCGCGTGCGAATGCAGCAATTACACTTGCTCTGATGGCAGCAGGTAGATACAGTTAGCTAGCTAGATAGGAGATAAACATTAGCTAGACAGATAAGATAAACATTCTTAAATTAAAATGCCTAAAGCTAAACTTCCCTTGTAATGACTTGCAATGAGAATCGTTTCTAAACCTGTTGTCCAACAAAAGAGAACACTATAAAGTTTTTACTCCACAAATGCTTCCTTTTGTGATCTGATGTGGCTTCTTGTCACAGAATGAGGCAGAAAATATGTTCTATACTGTAAAAAGCATATGGTAAAATGGCTATGTCGATTAGCAATGAATTATAAATATACTTAATTATGATGAAAATACCAAAGATGACCAAACATTGTCGCAGTCGAATGTTAATTGTCTTTGTTTTATCGTTCAAAACGTTTATATCTTCTGTTTACTCAGTTACAGCTATAGCAATGCCTTTGTCCATATTAGGGATTTCCTGAGTCCTATTCCTTCTGTGATGCACATGTGGAGTTTCTGTGCGAGGGCACCCTCTGGCGTCCAGTATGAATGAAACAGACATTAAATGTGTTTATAGCGCTCAATAATGGCCAATCCATCCTATTTTGGGTATTTTTATTTTTTATTTTTTTTTAAGTATCGGTTCAGGCACCGGTACTGTTTTAAAAGTATCGATTTGGCACCGGTATCGTAAAAACCCAAACAATACCCAACCCTATTGCTAAGGTCTTCTGGGTGGTTGTTAGTGTGCTGCTATTGCAATTGTTGGATTGAAGTTGCTCTGTACTTGCAATAGTACTATGCAATAGTACTTTTTCTGCAGCCTTAGTTACAGAAGTATTATTTATGCAGCCTATTTTTCCTATGTATTTATTTCTATTGTATGAGGTCAGTCAAAACATTACACACTTTTATTTGAAGCAAAAACGTATTTAAAAAGTATTTAAAATGTACAAGGTACAAGACTGTGTTTAATGGCTTTAATGCAGAAAAGAACAACAAGAAGTGATATAATCAAATTACAAACGATGGAGAAATATAAAACTATTGATGTTGATTACGTGTTTGGAAATAATATATTTTAAGGTTTTTTTTGCCTAATATGCATATATACATAAATATTTAAGTAGTTTGAGAGTGTAGGGAGATTGACTGTTACATCATTCGCAGCTCTTCATGGGAGCAGGTGAGTGCTAAAGAGTTCTTTTGGCATGATTTGTTTGTTTTGATTCTATGATTGGTGCAGATTTCTTTGCAAAATCATGGGTAATATAGTTTTTCACCAATTATGCGGTTAAACATGATTATTAAAAAAATTGTTGACAAAATGCATGCTGATGGCTTCAGCATGTACCACTGATTACCAACCTCAAAGATCACAGTAAGTCTGTCTTTAATGGTTTATAAGTAATTACTAAAAAATATATTTGCTTATGGAGAAAGTAAATAACATTTTTACTTCGAAACCTGACTGTCGCACTCTATTTTGTGGCTAGAACTGGTGGTTGCTAATGCATGGGTATGCAGTTCATAGGGTGTTCTGAATGGTTTTTTTTGGTCCAAAGAGAAAAAAGAGATGGCATTACTTGATCCATCTTTCAATGCAAGTCTAAAGGGTTTTTTTGTTTGTTTTTAATTGGAACCAAAAATCAAAAAGGTAAATATCACACCTCAACATGCCACATAATTTGAGGTAACATTCATTTCCGAAGCACAAATGATGTGGGACGAGATAGGCGCTTAATTTTAATGCATATGATTATGCAATAATAAAAGAGATGCTGACCTTAGCAAGCACTGTTAATTAACAGCATCTTTCTAGAGAAGTGTGCAGTATGGGTTGCAGCCATGAATAAATTTCATAGAAGGGAAATTGACCACGACAAACCCCCTCCCCCATTTCTATATTACACAGAGGGATCCAGGGGTTCACCTCAGACAACCTTCACATGAAATATTTAACTCAAATCTATAAGAGGCAGACAGAGACGCAATTTGTGCCCATTGAGCCTGAAATACACAACACACTGGGGTTAGAATCATACTGTCTGTCTTTTAGCCCTTCCTTCAGTGGCACTGGAAGTATAACGTTACAGCGTTAAAAGAAAGAGCCTCCTCTGGGATTGGCTGAGACCCAGAGTTCATTTCTGCCCCTAATGAATGAACCCAGTGTCATTGCAACGGCCACTTTCAACAACTGAAACTCACATATAACTGAAAATGTGCAAAGACGTCTGAAACTGAATCCTCATAGAGTCTAACCTGCACCATCCGGACATGAAAGAGGTGTTTTTGAAGAGGTTATTTTGTCTTTTAGTGCAAAACAGATGCCAATTACATTGTTGTATGAACACAGACAAATACTGTAATATTATCTTCCTATAAAAATGAAAGGAGATCACTGGAAATAATTCATCCTACAATGTGACCTTCTTACCATGGAAAGCTATTCACAAGGGTGTTGACTCAATAGGAAAGTTACTAACCAAAATTGGGACAAAAAGGAAAAGGTGCAAACCCATGCTGCTAAAAATTACTCTGTATTTATTTATTTTTAATAAATATTCATATTTTTGAGCTTAGTCAGACAATTCATTTAAAATAGAGCCACCAAGTGGACTACTACATATGTTAATGTTCGTATATTAATATTTGTTAATGGAAAATACTAGCAACAACATCTGTGACAAATATGCAATATATTCTGATGCTTTTTATGCAATCACAGAACTTTGTATGACAGAAAGTGAAAGCGTTATCAATCTCAGATTAACCTATATCTTAGGCTTCTCATGATCTTCAGAGATTACATTTTCATATTTAATTCTTCTAGTTGGAATACAAGCTATTTCCAGGGTCGCAGCAACTATGAATCAAAAGAAGACATAAACATCATTGAAGCATTGCCTGGACCTTGGAGGCAGATGTTGGTCCTTATTTACACATCAAATCTCTAATAGACTCTCAAACTATTTTGTTCGTTTTGAGGGACAGATCTATTCACCAGGGATAGACCATGACAGAAACTGGCAGGTTCACAACCCACAATCTGATATCATTGGTCAGTCAGCGTAATTTGAACGTATCCAGCAAACTTCCCCAGGAGAGCAGAATTCAGCAGATCATGTTACATAAGCATTGATGTTCCTGCCTGATAGGGACCATCTGATCTAATTACTTGCTTTACATTTGGCATTACACTTCTATACTTAATAAAGAAACAGGAGACATATCATTTCACTTCAAAAAAATATATTTTGTATTAAGAGGGTCATGGACTACCAAATGGCATAGGTATACTATGACTGTCTTGATCTAAATTACTTCAAGCAGAAAAAACCTATGGAAGTGTGCTTTGGAAATTAAATCTCAGATGAAGATACTAGCTATATAAAACAGCAAAAAGAGCTCAAATAACTGACTATCATGTCTAAATCCTTGTTAGGGAGATAGAAGGATTGAGACATTCATCCCAATAATTATACTTATAACCAGCAGTCAGATTGACTCCCAAAGGAGAAACAGAGATGGAAGCCAAATCCAAAAGCCTGAGGCTAAGGAACCCAAATGAGATAATGGTTGCAAATTTAATTATACTAGTTCTGTCTGAGACATCCCACTCTCTAAATTAATTTTTTGAAATGATGACGATTTTGAAAAAAAAAAAAATCTAGTTATTATCTATATTCAAAGCCTTGCTATTCATTCTCATATTGATATAAAATGAATAATTTTAACCAGTAATCTGATTTTTAATTTAAAATAGTTTAATATTATTCACTTAGAACATCCAATGCACTAAATATGATTGGGAGTATAACATCAGAGCTGTATTTACCACTGTAAATGTTCTACATTTATCATACCTGAACAATATTCTGAACAATACATAAACATGCCTAAATGTTGAATCAAGATGAGAAGTATATATGCATGATATCACACGAGTACTAGGCCAAAGAGCAGGTCCCTTTTGTTGCCCTCATGACTGAAGGTGCTTATGGATGAATCCATCACATGGCCCTATTGTTTACAGTGGCACGATGGTAGCCATTGTATAACCGGTATTATGGAGAGTGGTTTGCATTGCATTGAATAATGGTTAAAACCATGAGGTGCTAATAAAATCAAAGCATATGATATATACATACAATTATATATTTAAATTATCGAATAAAACACCTAAAATGATCGTTGAAAAGCTAGATTTGAGCTGTAGGAACATCTCTAAATCTGTCTAAAATTCGAAATGGCCTTCATTAATCATAATTTCGCTTATATTTACGCGTCAGCTGTAAATAACGCGTCTCAATGCCATTGCTGTTTATCTGGCTTCATGCTGCGCCATTTACTGCGCATTTACTTGGACTTCTCCTGTAAACATTCAGTTTACCTGGACTGCTCTGTTGATATAATTTCACAGTCCCGTCCTTCCGGATCCTCACATCTCCAGGCCCCGCAATCCGTCCAGGTGGACGCCCACCTGTCTCTTTCCGTCTCTGTTTTTGAGTTAACCACCTGCAACACTGATAACACACGGCCCAGGCTTGCTCCTCATTGATCGGCTGACTGTACAGTGTTAAAATCTCTTCCAAACACAATTCATCTTCCCCGTCCGTACAATCCATACTGATGTCTTCAGGTTTCGCTCCATCCCCGGGATCCTGGAGAGCCGACGGTGAGATTAGCATTCCTTCGTCAGTCATTCTTCTTCTCCAGGCTTCCCGTGAGCAGGAGAGACTGTGTTAGGGTGATAAAGAGGCAGGAAATGTATGTTTACGTTAGGTCTGTCATCTAGAGGCAGCGCGCGCGTGTCCTCCTCTACTGTCTGTGACGCTACTTCTGAGCTCGCGCTGCTGCTGCTGTTCGACTCTGAGAGGCGCTCGGATTACTTTTCCGCATGGTCTCAGAGTCAGTCAGATCCTCAGCCAGGTTTTTCACAAAACAAACTGTTAAGAAGACTTTTACCACATTTTATAATAATGTAAGAACTTTAGAATTAGCCAAAACGCGTAGCCAGAAATGGTTTGTTTACAGTGTCTAAAGTTTTTAAAACAATAACAAGCTAACACATCTGAAAGTTAATGTTAGTAGGCTACATATGTTAAATCTTGACCTAAATTTGATTGAAAACGTTTAATTTAAATCTAACTGTGAAATTTAAATGTTAACCCGTTAAATGTAAATTTATTTGGTATGCAAATAACGCTTGGCGCCAGTCAAATGATTGAGCAATAACAGTAAACCTAGGCTTTGCAGCAGTGGCCTGTGCTAAATTTAAATAGATTAACATTTAGATTGCCCAATTAAAGCTGATTCATTAATAATTAGGCTGCTGTACCATTTTCTCTATAAAAAGGTGACAACTCAAAATTGCAAACTAAATTGTGGATTTAATGTAGACACAGGGATTCTATTGGCTTAACCAAATGAGCGACAGCTATAGTAATTGAAATGGTAAAAGATTTACAGGATCTTTGAGGTAATAAAGTTAAATATCATGTCTGGTTTAGAATTTGATTTGCTTGGTAATGGATATAATATAAAACTAAATTGGTAAAATCTTTAACAGCAGGTTCTCTTGTGTAAACCACCAGATTCTCCTGTCAACCCTATTGGAAAATGGCATCTCAGGAACCGCACGCCAGTGGTTTGAGTCTTACCTCTCAGATAGGTCCTTCAAGGTATCTTGGAGAGGTGAGGTGTCCAAGTCGCAACATCTAGCTACTGGGGTGCCTCAGGGCTCAGTACTTGGACCACTTCTCTTCTCTGTCTACATGGCATCACTAGGTTCTGTCATTCAGAAACATGGCTTTTAATCTGTTCCACCTTTATTTGACCCTCTAACACTTTCTATTTTAATTCTACTTTATCTATATTTATCTTTTTTTTATTCCAAAAAAACTAGCTTTCTATTTTTTCTATTCTATCTACTTGTTTTTCTTTGTTTGTGTGTGTGTGTATAATATATATATACATATATATATATATATATATATATATATATATATACACACCTTGCTACGTGTACTGTGTTAGGCTAACCGAGACTTGTCATTTGCGTTTATATATTGTTGCTCTTTTGTTAGTTTTTACTGCTTTTATTGTCCTCGTTTGTAAGTCGCTTTGGATAAAAGCGTCTGCTAAATGACTAAATGTAAATGTAAGTTAATATAGCCTACTGGTGGTTAATATATAGTGGTGGTTGGTTGTAACACTTCACAGCTCTTTTCAAGAGCAACAAATAGCATATTGCAAAAATCAGTAGAGACTTAAATATGCCCCATTTGTTTTATTTATTTATGTTCCTGGACATTGAGAAAGAATAGCATTACATTTCATGCAGCAGATGCTCTGCACATACAAATTTGCAGCCTCTGTCCCTGGAGTGTGAAGGTGACTACACAATGTGTCAGATATGTTTTCGGAGTAAACTGTTAATGCATTTCTATATTTGGTATTTTATTTGCTGTTATGAATCATAAAAACATTTCCTACATGTTTACCATTTTGAATTTCAATTGTTGTGAAGTGATGATGATAAGGGATGGCATAATTATTGTGTTGGACAGTAGAATTTAAATAAAATTCACACACAAAAACAATGTTGCATCATACATGTTGCTAGAGGTAACAGCATTGCTCTTTGTACTTGACATTAATTAACATAGTTTTGGGATAAGTTAAACATTTCTATAAAAGAAATAGTCTATTTTGTGATGCAGCATTAAGATCTGGTAAAAACTATGTACAGGTAATGTCTCAATTGCCTGTGCAATTGAAATGTAAGATAAACTGCTCCATCTAGTGGTTCCAGTGATTTTACAGCACTTAGCTGTCCATATTAAATAAAGCAGGGCAAAAAAATATATTTTGTCACACTAAATAAAATAAATTTTAACTTAAATAAATTAAAATGTAATAATTAATTATTTCAGATACATGCCAAAAATACCTTGCAATTTGCAGTAAACTGCAGTAAATTGCAGTATTTACAAGAATGGAATGACCAAAAAACATAAATAAAAACATAAAGAACGAGGGCCATAATATTAACCAACCAATCAATTAATTGTTGTTGTGTTTTTACAAGTGTTTAGGCATGACAAAAATATTCAGTAGCCTTGTCTTTTAAAATATGTAATTAGCATTCAAATTGCACAGTGAAAATCTGAGAGCTATTATTACCGTAATTGCATTTGTGCAACATTATGAACGTGAATTTATTTTATGAACTTGAATGTATTAACATTATGAATGTGCTTTGCTCAGTAACTCCTGTGAGGATATCAGGGTTGACTAAAATCTATATTTGCCATGCTAATGATCAGATGCAACTTTTTAACCAAGTTTTGCAACAAACTAAAGCAAAGCATATTTCTATAGGCTAAGTGTGCATTAAAAAGATATCATCTCTTGTGAAGCTCTATTTCTCTTTACAGCTTATGGTTTCTTATATAGCCCATAATCGACATCGCTGAACTCCTCTGGGTTTCAGAGTGTATCCTCTGCATCAGACAAAGATGGGGTTGTTTTCTCCTCATGGCTCCCCTGGGTTAGATGCAGCATTAGATGAAACCCCTTCAGAATGAGTAGTTTCCTCCTCGTGCGTTGTCTGCTTTGAGTCACTTATCTGCTGTAAAACACAAACAAGCTGTCACCATATATAGAACAAAAAGCAGACTTAATGTTATTCAAACATTGACACGGCTGTTCTTTCAGCCTGCTTTGCCTGTAGGCTGTCAAAACCCTGAAGTTTGACGAATTATGCATATGAGACCTTTGAATGTGTACTATTTCATAAATAGCTGTTAGTTTTTTATTCAGTGACTGAAACCTCATGACTGCAGGATGTTTTTGTGCAGGTGCTGGAAGTCAAAACCTGCTTTCCACATTGAGTTCCTGCATTAACCATCTGTCTGCCTCTGTCTCCACAGGATCTGGCCTCCATACCTCTACCTGGGGAGGAAGTGACAATATGTCACAAAAAGCTTATTTTTTTTGCCTAAATTAAAAACTATTTTAGGACAAACTAAGAGAATAATGAAGCCAAACAAACTTTGATTTTAATTTTAGAGAAAAACCTCAGCATCTTAAAGCATTTGCATCAGATAAATAGCTTATATTTTCAACCGTATGTGTATACATATTATAACTCTGTTACTTTTACCAAAAACAGCATATACCTGATAGTTTTGAATTGTCTTTAATAAGATGGCTAGATTCTCCACGCACGACGCGGTTCTTAGTAGTCACGCCGTTGGGGATTTCAGCATCAGTATTGGTAAGCCACGTCGATTCGGTTTCTCTGGTCCAGCTCTCATGATATCGCGGTTCAATAGCATCTGCTCGACTCCCACCGCAGCCCATTGAAATAAGATGGAGCGCTGCATGCGCTAATAAAGGATGCAGACGAGCGCGCGCGATTATGCTCCGTTCCCACGCGCAGCTGTGAGTGAATGAGTGCCCTCGCCTCGTGCATTTGCCAAACTTGAGATTTGTCATCCTTTACGTCATCAATTTATTGTGATACTGTGTAGAGGCGATTTGCACCAAAACAAACGAGAGAGGAATACGTTTACGTTTTAGTGACATGTTTTAGCACCAAAAACGTGTTCACATGCAAACTTTTATATTTATATATTATAAACCACACACATAGGCTATGTGTGATGATGAGAGTGCTAGTTTTGTATTTTCCAATTTAATGCAAGATTTTTCATAAATTACAAATCAATGTCAGTGTGGTGTAACCAAGCTATTTTTGATCGTCATTACTGCGTAGGCAATGTCAATAGATTTATGTCAGTAGGCTATATTTTGTAGACTATAGATATAAAATATTTTAGTACTTTCTGTCTGATGTTACACCACTTGACATTTAGGCTACACCCGGGAATGATGATGAGTTTGTATTCTACAATTTAATGCAAGATTTTTCATCATTTTAAATCAATGTCAGTGTGGTGTAACCAAGCTATTTGTGATCGTCATTACTGTGTAGGCAATGTCAATATATTTATGTCAGTAGGCTATTTTTGTAGACTATAGATATAAAATATTTTAGTACTTTCTGTCTGATGTTACACCACTTGACATTTTATAATGAAAAAGATTAATTAAAAAGAGTCATTCAATAAAATCTATGAAACCAACATGAAAACATGAAATTCTAAAATATTATTAAAATATTTCTGGACATCCTTATTAGCCCTCGACTTACTGTTTTATAAAAGTGCCCTGGTATTATTGTACACTGGTGCTGCCATGGTACTTGTTTTAAGAAAACAGAGAGTGATATTTGAGTCATTTATATATGACAGTCATTTCCTTCCAATAATTCTGCAAAATCAGTGCATATGTGACCCTGGACCACAAAAGCAGTCATAAGTAGCACGGGTATATTTGTAGCAATAGCCAACAATTCATTGTATGGGTCAAAATTATCGATTTTTCTTTTATGCCAAAAATCATTAGGATATTAAGATCACATTCCATGAAGATATTTTGTAAATTTCCTACAGTAAACATATCAAAACTTAATTTTTGATTAGTAATATGCATTGCTAATGACTTAATTTGGACAATTCTAAAGGCGATTTTCTCATTATTTTGATTTTCAGATTCCAGATTTTCAAACAGTTGTATCTCAGCCAAATATTGTCCTATCCTTTCAAATTTAGGATTATTATTTATTCAGCTTTCAGATAATGTTTCTTTTTTTTTTTGTGGTTCAGGGTCACATATATAGTAATTTGAATATAGTTCCTCACTCATGACAACAAAACAAAATAAACAAAATTATGTGCTATAATGTATTGGTCTTTACATTCAGCATGTGATCATGTATTTCACCTTTTCCAGCAAAAACATAAATACATTTAATCTCACAGCAGAAGCACAAACACAGACAAACACACACATAGTGGTTCCTTAACAACACAATTAAACAATCACTGCATTACCCGCACATGCCACAGAGTAAGCACCAACAGAAAATTAAAAACAACAGAATGCACAGCCATTATGGGCTCAGCGAAAGACGAGTGTTCAGTGTTGGACCACACATGCCCTCGAAGGACAAATTTTAAAACCCCTGAAAATCCTTCATTTGTAAACAAATTAAACCAATAATAACACATATGGTGAGATTCTGAGGCCTCTTATTTGAAATAGTGATCTGCAGGAATGATAAAGGAATGAGGCAGTGAGAGGAAGGTACTAACAGAGAGGTAAAAAAAAAAAGTAAAGATAAACAGTAAGTGTTGTGTAAGTGAATTGGAATTTGAATTCTATTTGAAGTCAAGGAGGTTGCAGTCAGTCTTGTAGTAAGCATACGGATAGTACTCTTGCTGACTGAGATTCAGACCTGGGATGTCCATAGATGCCTATAACAATAAAAATGAACAAATCAGCTGTGATATCTCTATATCTTCAATTAGGCCATTTTCTTATGCTCACCAAAGCTGCATTTATTTGATAAAAAATAGCAAATTCAGTAATATTGTGAAATATTTCACAGAACTATTTTGTATTTGAATATATTTTAAAATGTACTTCATTTCTGTGATGGCATTTCTGTGGTGAATTTTCAGCTGCCATTACTCAGGTTTTTATTGTCACATGATCCTTCAGAAATCATTCTAATATACTGATTTGGTGCTTAAAAGGATAGTTCAGCAAAACATTTTAATTCTCAACTTCAAGTTGTTCCAAACCTGTATGAGTTTCTTTATTCTGTTGAACACCAGAGAAAATATTTTGAAAAATGTGGGTAACTGAACATTTGCTGGTACCCATTGACTTCCATTGTATTTTTTTCATACTTTGGAAGTCAATGGCTGCCAGAAACTGTTTGGTAACTCAAAATATCTTCTTTTGTGTTTAACAGAAGAAAGAAACTCATAAAGGTTTGGAACAACTTGAGGGTAAAAATGATGGCAGAATTTTCAATTTTGGGTTAACTATCCCTTTTTTCAACTATTATTGATGCTAAATTATTAATAATGGTTCCTATTATTATCAATGTTGTTTTATATTTTTGTGGAAACTGTTAAATTTTTCGGAATTTGTTGATGAATACAGTTGAATAGAAATCAGTTATTTTAAAGGGGAGTTATTTTGAGTGTTACAAGCTGTTTGTGCATATATAAGATCCGTAAACGCCTCGTTTAAACGCGCCCTCACATATCTACTTCACTGTGTGGGAAGATTTGCATAACACCACCCAAATGTTTACGCAAAGAAAGGAGGTGTAACTTTTATTCTTGCTGTAGTATTGTTACCGCTGCTGCCATGTCATGCAGACGCTGTGTGTTTCCAAATATGGTAAGGGGCGTAACATTTCCATCTCACGCTTGAGGTATTCGGCCAATCACAACACACTGGATAGCTGGCCAATCAGAGCACACCTCGCTTTTCAGACCGATGAGCTTTGTAAAAATCGAAACGTTACGTTTCAGAAAGCCGGGGCAGAGAGGAGCAACAATAATGTACGGTATGTGGAAAATAATGTGTTTTTTTAACCTTAAACTGCATAAACACATTGCATTACACCAAACACACAAAATAATGTTCTTTTTAGCAGCATCATATGACCCCTTTAAATTGACACAATATTTCACATTATTACCACTATTTACTTTTCTGTATTTTTGATTAAATAAATGCAACATTGGTGAACATAACAGACCTCTTTCAAAAATATAAAGAATCTTAATAATAGCTCACATCAATAACAGTAGCATTGCTGTCCAAGTGTTTGTAAAGGTCCTGCAGAACCTCCCTCAGTTTCTTTACATTCTTCTTGATTGGCTGAAGCAGCATGGCCTGGAAATTGACTGGCAGCCCATACCTGTTCAATACAAATATGCAGGTCTTACATCAGACAATCTACATCTACATATGAAATAGATTCAAACGCTTTAAACAGATTTGCACACACTGTACCTCAAGACTGACTCTGTAAAAACCCGGAGTGCCTTGATGTGTATCCATGCGATGAAAGCCTCACTGAAGTTGACTTTAAGCCAACGCACCAAAGGACCCTGAGGTGCAGAAGCAGATTGACCGTTGTTATCATTACTTATCTTTTCTCTTTCTAATTACTTAAATGAAGACTAATCAAGGCCCAGGGCCTCTCAAGCTGGCTGTGAGGTTGATGAGTTTTGAGGTTACTCATCAACATCATTGTGGAGGATTTTTTCATGTTCAATAGAGAATAAAATTTAGACAGCTGCATGCATACAAATTGCTTTTTCTTGTCAGTGGAGAGGCGAGTCATCTCCTCTTTGTCTGCTTTCATCTCCTCTTCATTGTACTGAAAATCACGCACCATGAACCTGAAAAAAATCAGTAACACAGGGTCAGCTTTCCTCTGATTCAGCTGAAAGACATGATGGCATCAGTGAACATCAAAAACAGACAGACACTCAAACACATTGTGATACATTATAACAGTCTTACAACAGTATGTCATTCATAATCTGAGAATATATCTACACTGATTCTTGAAATACGGGACAAAACTGTCTACAGAACTAAAAAACTAAAAGTTAAATTTAAAAGGATTTTTAATAAGAGAATTTACAATGATTTCTAAAGGATCATGTGACACATAAGACTGAAGTAATGATGCTGAAAATTCAACTTTGCCATCAAAGGAAAAATTACATTAAATGTAGCTTTAGTGAACATAAGATACTTCTTTCAAAAACATACATTTTTGAACAGCAGTATATTTGCAAATCTGACATTCAAATACACTTAAGGACTTGAGACTACAGGACGGTTTCAAACAGATTTTCAGCTCCATTTGACAAAATAACAACTATAGACTGTAAAGCTTCAAGGACTTACTTGTTTTCTCTTGCTTTGTGTTTGAAGTCATCAATAGCCTTCCTGAAGAGTGTAACACTAAACAACCCACTGTCTTGGTCTTCAAATAAAAGCCTAACAGAAGAGCAGATGAAAAATCGGAGTTGAGGTCAGTCACTATCACCATCACAGAGCAGCATTTTCCCTCATTATACTGGATAGAACACATATAAAAGCTCTGAATTAATTAAAAGCGTGAATTCCATTACAACATGAGGTCTATAAAGCCACATGCTGCCACTTATCAACACAAAGTAATTAATAAGGTAAAAAAGATGATTTATAAAAAGCATAACTTAGGTAGGTATTTCTCAATTTCAAACTTCTATCTCATTAAGTGTGCAAAAGTGTTTTTTCCACTTGCACAGTTTCTGCCATAGACCTTTTATTCATTTTTCTTAAAGCACTGAACTGACAGTTCTGGTCAGGTTCACGGTTTCATGTTTTGTTTAATGAGATCTATTCAAAGTCTTGGAAATGTTCTTTGCACTGAATAAAATGTGTTCTCTGTGTTGTTGAATCTCCTTGAAATGTTCCTTGGTCTTCCTTATGATTTCTAATAACTTCTGATTAATTGAGCACATAAAGGAGTGCACAGTGTTTTGGACAGCATAGTTTGTGTGCAGAAGCATATTGCACTGTAATGCTTGCATTACTGTGTGTAAGAGCAATAACAGAAGGGCAAGGTTTCCATCGATACAGTCTGCCAAATTTACATGTCCACCAAAAGCAAAGCGTAATGATGTCAAGATTTAAATACAGGCAACACAAAGTTCAGAATTCTCTACTTTAGGTGAATTAATTTTAAGGTCGTCATTAAATTTTACTCACTTTGTGGATCTTGGAACCACCATTTCAGAAAGAGTTTCATATGTCTTCTGCCAGTCAGGATAACTAGTCCTTTCTAGGCCATAAAAAGGGCAAAAATGAGTTTTGCAGAGGTAACAACATATATAATAAATCAAAATGTGTTCATTCTAAGTTATAGGGATAGTTCACCCAAAAATGAAAACTGTGTCATCATTTACTCACACCTTCTGCAAAATGCAAATTAAGATATTCTTAATATTGTTGGTAAGAAAAAAATGTTTCTTCCACAGTATAGACAAAAACTTTTATGGAAAAATTCAATGAGAAGTCAATGGGAACAGAAACTGTTTTCTGACCGATATAATTATCTTCTTTTGCATTCCACAGAATAAAGAAAGTCACACAGGTTTGGAACAACATGAGGGTGAGTAAATATTGACATCATTTTTAATCCAACGAAGAAACATTTTAAAAGCACAAAATACAAAGAAAAGCACAAAAACTCCAGTTTGACTTACTTTGGAATAACTACAAGTAGAGTAGTAAGGTATTCAGAGTCTAGAACAAAATCATTTTTCTTGACTATATCAGCCACACTCCTAGTCAAAAGACTCCCTCTAGTGGACAAGACATGTTGTTATTTAAGGTCACTTAAAATGATTAAAGTAACTATATCAAAGAATATGAAACTCCTCCCACTTACACATTCTTTCTCTCCAGACTCTGAAGGTTCCCTTTTAGGCTATTATAAGCTGAAGCTCTGGCTTTGAGATCATTGTCAATCTGACTCACTTGCTAAGAACACAGAACAAAACAGGAAATTTCAAGAAAAATAAATCTCCTTATATTATAAACAATGACAAAATATTTGAACATGCCTCACCTTGGACATGATCTCTGAGATGTTCTTAAGGGACTGTTTGATTGGATACTTGGCCATATCCCACTGGAACCGTGTAACATATGTGACCAGATCAACTGTATGGAAAGAGTTATTCATTATAAATATTTATAATCATATAAAATAAGATTATAAGGTAATATACTAGGACATTCAAATATGACAGACTAGACTATGAAAGATTACATGTATTCTTATTTGACAAAATGTTATATAAATGTCAAATTGACATTAGTACCTGTTAAATGTTTATGTGATTGTGATAATAATTAAGAGTAGTATTGTTTACCATCAATATTGTGGTTAGTATGTATTGAGGATTTTAAGTTCACTTGCCTCCATTGGCCAAAAGATTCTCCTGAACTTTATCTCGACTGTCCTCTAAAACATCATCCATGTACTGGGCCACTTTTCTCACTACGCTGGAAAATAACGGCAATAAATAAATAAAATAAAAAATAACAGCAGCACAGGCTAAATATACATTTAAATATATTTAGAGAACTTTAACATGACAGAAGCTTAAAAACCCCATTAAGGGAATTATAGGAACTATGACGCTGTGTGTAATTGATAATGATCAAAATATAATAATATCAAAAAATTAAATGTATACATTTTTTAACGGAACACTCTGGTAAAACGTCAAACGTAGACATGAAACCTCTCTACGAAAGAGTCCAATTTGGCAAGCTCATCTGACAGCCCTACAAGGATATCCAGAGTCCCCACCTGTTGAGAAACACCACCAAACCTCATTAGACAAATGGAAAAAGTCAAATATGTGTTGTAAATAAACCAGTGCTTTAACTGAATTAGAAAATGAGGAGTCATTTACTTTCAGTTCAGGTATGTTGAACTTGTGGTTAGTGGACAGGTTGGTCTGGCTTGTGGCCATGTTCATCTTGTCCCATGTCTACTGGCAGGTCTTCTCTCCAGGAGCAGAGATCAACCAGAACTCTGTCATGATGGCTGCTCAAATGATCACGGGGAGGGTGCTTAAACATAAAGATTAAATTCTCATAGCATATGAGACACTTCAACAAAAAAAAACAAAAAAAAAACTGTCAAATAGAATACAGTCCTTTCAAGGTTGATCATATGAGCAAATTCACACTTCTCCATTTCATTCCATAAAAATGACCAGTCACGAGTCATCAGCAGATTAAAGCTGTCCCCCTCTGCAGATAATAGGTGTCTTGCCTTTAATAGTGTGTTTAAAGACTGAACACAGAATTTATAATCGTAAAGTGCACACTGATATAGTGTACGTTTAGGTGATGCGATGGATAAATGCGCAGTTCTGATGTCTGTAAATATTGTATGAGAAATCATTCTTTGGCGATACTTACCGATGATATAAGTCACTTCAGTAAACTACAAAATAATCTGTTAAAATTGGAAATAGTTTTTAATAAAACATTATTGAAAACACAGTTAATTGAGTCGCCGTGTTGAAAACCCTTCTTCCAGTCAGCTGATCGGAGACTTGTGTTTCGTTCAGTTGACAATGCGTTCAGAATGCGCAATGTGGGTGTTTTTAACCTTTAATAAACCCCTTCAAATAACAAACAGGTATATACCAAACTACATATATTAAAAATATAAAAGCAAATTGTAAATAAATTATAATGAATCCATATATTTTCAGATTAAGACATTAAAGGCATTTTAGCTGCTTTAAGTATTAAAATTGTATTAAAGTGTTTAAAGAAAATTTAAAACAAATGAATTGTTTAAATGCCAAACTTGGAGCAGCTTTAAGAAATCTACATTTATCTAAATAAAACTTGCATATAATCAGACAACCTTTGTTTTGCATAAAAACGCTAAACTTGTGACTCTCAAAAAGTATTACATTCTTTGGTAACTAACCCTTCATACATTCTGTCCCAAAAGTAGTTCAAAAAATAACAGTTGTAGAAAATCTTAATTGCTGAATTCACTAATTTCCCTAAATTAAACTGGTTACTAATTGTTACAATGTGTAAATACGATATAGCATATACAATATGATGTTATTTGAGCATATACTGTATGGTATCCAGCAGCACAGTAATCTGCCAGTAATGCCATCATGACAATGATCTGATTCACATTTATGCTACTACTTAACTGATACCAGATGATATGCAAAATTCAAGTCAATTAAAAATGTATAATTTACGGTAAATAACATGATTTGCAGACAAAGTGTCAGGGATCTCAAATATAAATGGAGCAACGTGTTTGCCATCAATTCACTGAAACAAAACAAGACCTTCAGTGTAGCCATGTGCATTGTAACAAGATATTTGTCTGAAAATTATCTGAAATTCTTTGGCAAACAAACTAGAACCTGAAACCATCAAATATGACCTTTCACCTAGTAAACGGCTATGAAAACACTTGCATCTTACAGTGTTGTGTATGTTTATGTACCGTTGTGTAAGGGTTTGTTATGACAGCTTTGCCAGCTGTGAACCTCAGCATTGTTGATTTCTTCATTATGAATCAGAAGGAATACAACTGAAGTTTGATGATGATCAAACGTTTAACAAAAATGTACAGAACTACATTTTGAAATGGTTTTACTGGTTCTGGTGGTATGGTTGTATAGTATAACAATATACATTATACTACAACAAAAGATACTATAAATCTAAATTTAAGAACAATGACTTCCATATAATGACAAAGAGGGGAAAGCATCTATCAGAAAGTACAAGCAGCGTATTAAGCAATACAAACAGAGCCCACGTTGGCCCATAAATGTTCAAAGGAGTGTGTTTCTCTAAAAGGAATTTGCTATAAGAACATAATTCTCTCATGAGTACAGATGTCCCCGCCCACCGCTATCCGAATCCTACTAAGCTAAAGGGTGAGCTAATGAATATTAATGAGAGTGGGCTGGCGTTTCTTGGAAATCCTCCCCAGAACGACCAGTTCTTGAGCCAGTCACGTAGCTGCGTAGCTCTTCACAAGCCAAGCCTAGTACTTTAGGCCCCGCCCCGTGTTCTGTGTTCTCTAACAACCGTTCTCCCGCCTTCCTCCAGCAGCGACCATTTCTTCCTGACAGACAGATAGCAGCGCTCTCGTGTTCCGCCGAGCTATCCTCGCACAGGCATATGGCACATACAGCCTCTCTTCTTTCTTCTATTTGTGTCCCCACTACTCTTTAAAAATTCCGCCGAAAAAGAGAAGACGATTTTCCAAATCATTCAGGCCGTTATCTCACGTAAGTACCGCGTTTGTTGTTGTTTTTAGTCTTCATCCCGGAAAAATCCGCCGTCTGCTGTAAGTAACGTTAGCCGTGACACAACATGGCGGTTGGTTGTAGTCGCGCTTGTTATACGGGCAACGGCAGTGCTCCGTGAAGGACAACGATAAATAGATTTCAAACTCACAAATTATGAGGATTAAACGTGTTTATTTATATAAATCATTAGTTGTCGGAGCATGGCGCGGGTTTAGTTGGCTAAACAGTTAGTGAGCTGATTCAGTGGACAAACCCCGGCGCTTAAGACATGTCCTGTCAGGTTATTGAATAACGAGCGTGTTACACATTAAATTTATATAATGTTTTACTGTGTTCTGATATCAGATTATATATTATGCTAACACTAGTTAGGCCTAGGTGTGTTTACAATTTTGTTTTCCTAAGAAACATCTGTTTTGGTGAAACATTACCTCGTACCACAACACAAGTCACTTTCATGCTTATTATACCATAATAACTATAAATGTAACTATAAATGTAAAGTTTGACATGTGAAATAATAGCTGGGAATATATATATTTTTAATAGAACACTTTATTGAACCCTTTAGACAAAATATATATTTTTTTCAAAAAGTATTTATTTATTTATTGTTTTAAATATATATTAGGATTTTATGACCCATGTATTATGATATAGTGAGAACATTAAGATGAGATTCTGATAGCTTATAATGTAAATCTTTATAATAACAGACTACTTACATAAAGTTATAATTATGAGTTATATATAAATATTAGTTGTCACTCTACCTTTCAATAAAATTTCTTTGTAAGATGATTGAAAAATATAATGCAATATAATACAAAGATGATATAATATTTATCATATAAATATATCATATTTGATACTCACATTTTAACATGATTTTTCTAAAAGGTGATCAATTGGCTTTAGTCCATTAATTGTCTATCTTATGATGACGTTACTAACAATATAAAAGTTACCATTTACTTGCTAAAAAAGTATGAACTATCAATTAGATGACGCAAAGCATGTAGTAGGTTGTGTACAACAGGTTTTTCCAGCCAAATTTTGATGATGTTGATCATTTAGATGCCTTAGAAATTAATGTGTCAAATAACATGCTACAGAAGGCTTTATAGGGTTAAGGTGGTGTCCACATGAAGAAACAAACACCATGACCTCTGATAAATGTTCAACAAGTTACTTCATTTATTGATCACATGTGGGAAGATCCAGATAAGACAGTGTTGTTTAATGCTTAAAAATGAGAACACGGAGTATCTGATCATCAGGTCCATTTAACTAGTCAAGTACAAAGTACAGCAGCAAATAAGCGCTCGCTTCATAAAAACATAGCCTACAGATAAAGTGATGCTGAAAATGTATAATGCATCTGTATTAAGAAAACTGGTTATGTCTAAGTCAAGAGTTATTTCAGAAATGTTCTAACCTGCCTGGGTACATTTGTGTTATATAAGTTTACTTTATCCATCAGCTGCTCTTGTAAATCAACTATTTATGTATACACCTGTTTTTGTGACTCCACAGGGCTCCCCACTCTCTCTGCGAGTGTATAAGCGCTACCCAGAAGGCCTAGGGGAGGCCCTCTACCGCGAGCAGTTCGACTTCAACGCTGAGCCGCCTTGGGATCCTAGTTGATAGCGGGAGAGGACCATCTCCCACGTTGTCCATGTGAGTCCATAAATATTAGACACATCCCTCCTGAAGTACCATTGAGAGACAGTTACATAATAATATGATTTATTTCATTACACATAAAATCTGTGTCTGCACTCATCCAACTGTAGTGGATTGTTTTTGGTTTTACATAACACTCTTGGTGGCTTATATGCAACACCTTTGTCCCCCGTTCATACTGCACAAATCCATTGGTAATACCATCAAATGCTCCATTGTGCTTCAAAGCCACAGGGATTTATCTTGATTGGGTCCGAGTAAAAAAAAATAGCCTGTAGGCCACATTCTTGAAGCCTATGTGTTGTCGTCATCTCTAAAGATGGACTCGTGATGCCTTCTCTATTTATGTGATTCATTTTCCCTGCCTCTTGTATTTATTAGCTTCATAGAAACCCAATTTAGATCAACGATAGCCTTACAATGACTTTGAACTTCCTGTTCAAAGTTTGCTCATAAAACACACTGTTTTGAAATATGTGGGTTGGTGTTGTAGTTGTACACCTTGACGTAACGTTTTGTGTGAAAACATTATTTGTATGTTATGCACGTTGTTGTAATGACACTACTATGTTTTGGGTTCCCCTGAACAGTTTGTTGCATACCCAGAATACCCCAGCGGCTCAGTAAACTCTCTATGATTGTCGTATTTGCGGAATACGGTTGAGATGAAAGGATTCGTTGATGCACCAAACTACTTCATTGAACTACTTGAGGGAGGAACGACCCTTGACAATGTCATCGACAACCATGTCTATGAGCAAAATCTGGTTAGTTCAGAAAATCAGTCTCCAAGTAAATGTCAGACTGTGTTATGAACATCTGTTTTAGTGAACAAATGGAACACAGCGGTGTTGTTTCTGTCTTTTTCATTGATTGATCTGATTTTGTTTGTCAGGCTGAAAAGAATGCATTTGTTGTGGCCGACCTTGGGGCCCTAATGCGACAGCATGTTTTGTGGAAGACCACTATGCCTCTCGTTCGACCCTTCTACCCAGTCAGCTGTAACAGCAGCCCTGTAGTCATTGAAGTCCTGTCTGCTCTTGGCGTTGGTTTTGTCTGTGCAAATAAGGTAACATTTTATTTGATTCTTACCTGTAGATATTAGAAAGATCTCAAAATGTATATTTTGAAGGCACACCAACTTATAGAAATGCACTTAATACTTTCAGGCTGAAACCACATTGGTACTCAATCATGATGTCCCTCCTGAGAACATCATCCTGTCTGGAGTTTGTAAGCAGCTTTCACTCATTAAACACGCGGCCAAGACCGGCATTAACTATTTGGTGTGTGAAAATGAGGCAGAGCTTCGCAAAATTGCCCGTGCCCATCCTGAGGCCAAGTAAGTCCTTAAAACATATTGTATATATGTATAATATACATTAAAACATATGTATGTATGTATGTGCATTTTATATGACATTCAAAAGTCAGTAAAAGTTTCAGTAACACTTTAGTTTAAGGGACCAATTCTCACTATTAACTAGTTGCTTATTAGCATACATATTACTTGTATATTGGTTATTTATTAGTACTTATAAAGTACGTATTAATGTCTTATTCTGCATGACCATATTTTAGATCCCTTAATCCTAAACCATACCTAAACTTAACAACTACATTATTAACTATTAATAAGCAGCAAATTAGGAGTTTACTGAGGCAAAATTCGTAGTTAATAGTTAGTAGTGAGAATAGGTCCCAAAACTAAAGTGTGACCACATTTTCTTTAAGAAATTAATACTTTTATTCAGCAAGGACACATTACAAATGACAATTGTTTTCAACATTGATAAGAAGAAATGTTTCAAATCAGCATATTAGAATGATTTCTGAAGGATCATGTGACACTGAAGACTGGAATAAAGGCTGCTTTGCATCACATTAATAAATTACATTTTAAAATAAATTAAAATAGACAATTTATAATAATATTTTCAAATGTTTTACTGTAAAAAAAAAAAAAAAAATGAGCATGAGGCACTTATTTCAAAAACTTTTTTTTTTTTTGGTCTTCATCTTTGAACGGTGAAATATCATATATAAAATGTATTTTATATTGTATTATATCATTTATTTATAGTAAGTGTTTATTATATATTTATGTAATTCTCTTTCTGCACTGTTATTGTCTTATCAGGCTTTTGCTTCAAGTGTCTACTGACGCACAGGTTGAGGAAGCAAGTGTGACCATTGGTTGCTCCCTGAAGAGCTGTAGACACCTTCTGGAGATGGCCAAGGAGTTGAGTGTGAATGTGGTTGGAGTCACGTAAGTCAACTGATTTGGTCACCACTAATTTGCTGAGACTCACTTTGTCTTGTTTAGAGTTTTTAGAAAGTGGGACTTTTTCTGCAGGTTCCAGGTACCAGCATCATGCCAAGATCCCCAAGCATACACCCATGCACTGTCAGATGCCCGCTGCATCTTTGACATGGCGGTGAGTAGTAGTACGAACGTTATAATACGATAATTTAATTTAGATTTATTAGTAAATTTCATGTATCTATTGGAGTGCTGAGTCTTCCTTACTTCTTCAGAAGGAACTAGGCTTTGACATGAAGATCCTGGATATTGGTGGAGGATTCAGTGGTTCTGAGTTTCAGTTGAAACAGGTACGGCAAGCATGAGTCTCATTTGTTTTTCTTTTTTGAATATCATCCACTTACTCAAAGCTTTTCTTTCATGTCTGTTTGATCAGGTAAATTCGATCGTCAGACCCCTGCTGGAGGCCTATTTCCCCTCAGCGTCTGGAGTGAGCGTCATCGCTGAACCGGGAAATTTCTTTGTGTTTTCCTCCTTCACTCTGGCTGTCAATGTTATTGGCAAAAAAGCAGTATACCGGGATCTCCATAGCAGCACTCATGGTGAGCCCCATCATATTTGAGATATATATGGCATTAGATACATCTGCCTTATTTTCTCAATGTGTCTTTTGCACTCCAGATGAGCTGACCCCAAACGATGCACCAGAATTTGGGTATTACATGAACGATGGTGTTTATGGATCTTTCATGGGGAAGTTGTTTGGAAATGTCATCACCACACCATCTGTCCACAAGGTAAATAACACACATGTACCTGAACACGAACAATATTTGAATAAGTTGCCTGAGATTTCTAAACTCGTTGTTTTGTTTCTCAGCTGTCGCTCACCCTAGATGAGCCCGTGTTTTCCAGCAGCCTGTGGGGTCCATCGTGTGACCCATTGGACCAGGTGGTAGAGCACTGCCTGCTCCCTGAGCTCACTGTTGGGGACTGGCTCATTTTCAGCAACATGGGGGCCAGTGGTCAGGAGGGTCCGGCAACCCTCAGCGACACAGACCAACCACCTGTGTATTACACCATCTCCACAGATGACTGGTGATTAAGATCACATTGCATTTGACCTTTTGTTCTTGTCACAGACTGTTTTTGTCTTCCCTTTTTCATTTCGCCCATTACAAAGAGTGATTCTGTAATATAAAAGGTTGTTTAACTGTTGTTTTCTGGTCATTTTGTGTTCTGGATTCAATCTTTTTGTCAGCTTATCAGTTTTTATCTGGAACTGATTGGTCGTAGGCCTCATTGATCTGAGCTTTTGAGTGAACATTGCCAAAATTATCAACAGGAAAGTCTTTTTTTCACTCAAAAGCCGAGTTGCATATGCTCCGATCAATACAAAGCCTGTGCTAATTGAAAGAAAACATGTTGACAGAAAGATTGAATGTAAGATTTGGTGATAATATAGCATAATTGGGTAAAGGATTTTCAGCACAGCACAAGGGTTAAAGTTAAAATCATGCTGTTTGTTGTTTTCCGCTAGGTTTGAGATGCAAGAGGCTGGAATTTCTCTTGATGATACCATGAAAAACCTCTCATTGGTCCAGTATGGCTTGTAAAAGAGCCAGGCTCCGTCCACTAACCACTGGGCATGTGAATAGCTTGCAGAGTCAACATTCCAACAGTCATGGGTGGAAAATTATATTTGTTTTGGTGGGGGAGAAAAAATGACTTGGTCAAAAACTAATTGATTGATATTGTTACCTCGGTTGCTCACAATTACAAAAGGCTCACTTTCCTTATCACTCAAAAAGAATTACAGAAAACCAATATGGAATAACGTATGCAACAAAATGGATAACAGTGGAGATGGCACCCAAATCTTGGGTTTCTTAATCAAACACCGTTTACATAAATGTTCAGCTAATTTTATTTTATTGTGTATACATATATAGATATAGATGACCTACTGACAGTCTTGTACATGAATTGTCCGTACAACAAGAAGCATTTGTCTCAAATCAGGATAGATTTTAGATTCTGCACAAATAGTGTGAACAAGTGAAAATTGGTTTAGCAATTCTGTCCTTGTTCTCTCGTTCTCACTTTCCGTGGGTTTTATAGGAGTAGGGAGCTTCTCTGTGCTCCTCATGCCAAATTATGGTTTCCACATTACATGTGGTGCGTCACGTGACAGTATTTCCAAAGGTTGTTATATATTTCATAGTGCTCTATGGTTGAGTGTGCTGTAATTTGCAGTGTCCCTTCAAAAGATTTCAAACATTCTGCCAGGTTATCAGTTGAAGGTCGATGTAAATTAGTCTCATGTTTCCTCTAATTGTATGCTTTATGAAACTAGAAAGACTGCCTGGTGTTATGAATCTGCTGACAACAGAGATCACATTTACCTCAAGTAACACCTAAAATACAAGTTTCACCACAATCAGATTAAATGCTGCAAGGCACTAGTTCTCAATCTAAAATTCAAATGTATATTTCAAATTCATGTTAAACCACTTGTGTGTCTAGCATGGTGTCTAAGTGATTATAACAGCTCACTGTTTTATAAAATCACACCCCTTAGAAATGAAATATATCTTTTGTCTAAGTCCACTAATGGACCATTGTCTGTTTTTGACTGTAAAATTGTGCTTGTAAAAGTAATTAAAATATTAATTTAATACATTTCTGAGCAAATACGATCGAGTTGTTTTTTTGTTTGTCTCAAAGTGCTTTATGTAGACCCTTGAAAGCTTAGTTTAATAAATTAAACTAGAATACTCAAAGCAACACTGACATGACATATATTTTGAACTAGCTGAGGGTGGTTTCATATTTTAATAATTTTAGCTTTATGTAAGCCATGAGCAGCGAAAGGGTTCATTTCTATATAGCGTAACAGTGTAGGAGGAGCTAGACGCGTGCTGTGCACCGCTTCAGCAGCTGATTCTCAATGACAGATCGCAGCTTCACCGCTGCTGACCGAAGACGAGTATAACCATGGACTCCGGTATAAGCAACACTCCGGCGAACATTGTGGAATATCAGGTAATAATAAACTTACTCTAAAGCATTTAAGTGTGATTTTGCGGCCTTCGAATAAATGTTGAATCTGCCTGCCTTGCTATGTGTGCGGCTCTGTGCTTTCATAACAAAGAGCCTCGCGCATTAGGTAAAGTAACCGTGGAGTGAAATAAAACGATATATAGCATTTATGATAATAAAATTAAAGTAAACGTGAAATCTAAAGTAGTGTCAGTAAAAAGAGTGCTATGTGTTGCGGATAGCGACAGCAATATTTGGATTAAAGATAAGCTGTAACATTAAGGTATGGATAAAGTGAATCAAAAACTGATGTTGATATTTATTTTCTGGGTTATATGTAAGTGAAATTGAGGGTTGCAGTGTTGTTTAAATCACATGCACATGAAAGCCGTCCATTAAAATTTTTCGTAAGCAGATTCGTCATCAGTTTGTTCCCCTTGCGCTCTCATAACGAATGACTAGGAATACATTAGTGAATAGTTAACACGTCTTTAAAACCCCGTATTCCTCTATTAACTGTTATGTTTCTCCTGCAGAACGGTCACAAGGATGTTGACACGAACAGTGTTGAAGACGAACCCCTTCTCAGAGAAAACCCAAAACGATTTGTCATTTTCCCTATTCAGTATCCTGACATCTGGAAAATGTACAAACAAGCTCAGGCTTCATTCTGGACAGTTGAGGAGGTGAATATTATTATTATTTTTTTTATCAATTTAATATTAAGATGATAATTTTGCCAACTCTGATGAAAATACTTGAATGTATTGTAATAACTGTTGTACTTACAAAACAATCACAATGTGCGACCACCATGCCAGGGCACTGGTGGTATTAAATTCACCCAAAATTTCTGTTATCATTTAAAGGCCCGTTCAAAGAGAGCTATAACTATAAAGTTGTGATTGTTCTCACTCTGTAAGAACAGCGCAATCCACTCCACATCTATAACGATAACAGCACAGAATTATATCGTAGAAATTGCTCTGAGCATTTTTTTTCCAGCTGTTAAAACGATAAAAAAACATTGACAGCCAATCCGAATCGACCAGACAGAGCTTGTGACAGACAACATACGACGCTAATATAGATATCACATAGCACATGTAAGTCTGCAAGATGTTAACGATCGCTTGATCTGGAAATCATCAAACATCTGACAGACGTCTTTAAGATGTCAGTTTTACATATGCAAATCAATTTCTAACCTTTATATAATGTGTTTTTTCTGGATGTTTTTGGTTGGTATTCTGTCTCTATGCTCCTCCAGGATTTTCAGAGTCCGACTGGGGATGATCAGTTGTCAATACCAAATTCCCTTCATAATCGGCCTGACAGTGGTGTTAAGTGTGTTCTCGGCTTTAAAAGATGTATATGCAGACGTCAAATAGACGTCTCCATGATGTACGTGTTACTGATTTTAACTATAAATTTATTGAACTTTTTTATAAATGTACTTAGTTACTTTAGTGTGTTCTAGTTCTAATTTGTTGAGAGTAGGGAAGTCCATACCTTGACAAAGGCTTCTTGCCAAAACGTTGGTGGCTAAGTAAATAAGTAAAGAGGTCATATGTCCTCAACTTTGGTATCTCCTGACCTGCACCTCGTATGGTGTGTATGTGTGCTTGTTTATTTCAGTAGGGAAGTCCATGCCACAAATACAACGAAAACGACACAAAAGAACGATGTCGTTGGAATGGCTTTCAGAACGATATTTTTCCAGTTGGTAAAACATTGACAGCCAATCAGAATCCACTCGACTTTAAATAGCATGAGCATGAAGTTGCAGACAACAAAACTGCAGCGTGCTTGCGTTTATAATAAACATAACGTTATTGTACATTGGTGTGGACGCTTTTAATGTTCTTGGTGTGAACTGGCCTTAATGATAGCTTTAAAGTTTTAATAATAGTTCTAATTCCGTGAGAATATGGAAGTCCAGACCACAACTGTAACCATAAAGAAACAGAGGAACTATATTGTTGGAATTGCTTCCAGTATATATTTTTTTCCAAATGATGATCAATAAAAACATTGACAATCAATTAGAATCCACCCAATTTTTTAAAGCAGACAACCTGCAGCAGACCTTGTGATAAACGGGTTATAGTCCATTGGTGTGGATGCTTATGTGTCGTTATTGTTCTTGGTGTAAACAGGTCTTTACTCACCCTCATTTTGTTCCAAATCTGTCCATGGAAGTAAGAAACCCACTTTTGAAATAACGTGGGTGAATTTTCAGTTTTGCTGAACTATTCATTTAAGAAAATGTTATCAAAAATAGTATTTGTCCTTATCTCTGCTGAATGCGAAATTGCTAAACATTGCAATGGTTTGTTTAGGTGGATTTATCCAAGGACTTGGTTCACTGGGACAGCCTGAAGTCTGAAGAGAAACACTTCATATCCCATGTACTTGCTTTCTTTGCAGCAAGTGATGGGATCGTGAATGAGAACCTGGCAAGTGCATCTCCTAACCTTCATTAAGATTATGGAAACCAATGTAAAATTTCAGACTGAATAGATCAAGAAGTTATTTCCAAACATCATGTCTTTACTTGTCACAGGTGCAGCGGTTCAGTCAAGAGGTGCAGATCCCAGAAGCTCGCTCCTTCTACGGCTTTCAGATCCTCATAGAGAATGTGCACTCCGAAATGTACAGCATGCTTATCAACACCTACATAAGGGATCTAAAAGAGAGGTAAAATGGGTGAACAGTGTATTTCTTTACTATAACAAAGTCAGTTACAGCTTTTAAAGTGCTTTTACACAGGTGACAGGTGCAAGATTCAGTTCAGCAGTTTATGCTAACATTTTCCTTATGTAGTTTGAGCAAACTTTGCAAGACATTTTTTTTCTAACCACAAAAAAAGTCTTGTACACAAAAGAGACAAAGTTAATGATTGCTCTACTTGTGAACATCTTGGATTAAAATGTTAATATATGTGTTCTAAACAATAATACATAGTGACATTAAACAAAACATCAATACAATAAACAATATATTATAATGTATTATTAACTATATATATATATATATATATATATATTATTGTTTTCTCTCTCTCTAAATCCAAACTTTTTCTTAAAGGGACTTTTTGTTTAATGCAATTCACACCATGCCTTGTGTAAGGCGAAAAGCAGACTGGGCCTTACAGTGGATCTCTGACACAAACTCAACTTTTGGTGTGTGAAAAAATACTTTTTTTTTCCTAAAATGAGCATAAAATATTGATTATTACACTTGACCAACAGCAGTGTATATATATTTATTTATTTGGTTTTAGGAGAGCGATTAGTAGCATTTGCAGCAGTGGAAGGCATCTTCTTCTCTGGATCATTTGCTGCCATCTACTGGTTGAAGAAAAGAGGCCTGATGCCCGGACTCACCTACTCCAATGAACTCATCAGCAGAGATGAGGTGAAATCTTTAAGATATTTACATTTTTAAGATGTTCAGATCATGTTTTGATTGAGATTTGTTATCTGTGTCCATGATAAAAAATATAGAGATAATAAGAAGTCCCACTGAAAATCTAATCAAGGCTGTTATTGATTATTGAAACTTCACAGGGTCTGCACTGTAATTTCGCATGTCTAGTGTACAGCTACTTGGTGAAGAAACCTTCTGCTGACAGAGTGAAAGACATCATCACAAAAGCTGTGAGCATTGAACAGGTACGTTATACTTTGCTGTACTCTAGTGCTGCAGAATGAATTATTTCAGGCATGAGCGTAACTGCATTTGTATTTGCTTGTTTTTCTGTAGGAGTTTCTCACAGAAGCCTTACCTGTCAATTTAATCGGGATGAACTGCTCTCTCATGAAGCAATACATTGAGTTTGTGGCTGATCGGCTGCTAACAGACGTAGGATTGCCCAAAGTCAGTATTTTATCGGGATTGCATTATGATTTTTGTCTGATAATCTTTATATTTATATAACAGTGCTTTTTAAATTCTGTCTCAAAAGGTTTACAAGTCAGAAAACCCTTTCGACTTCATGGAGTCAATTTCATTGGAGGGAAAAACGAATTTCTTCGAGAAGCGAGTGGCTGAATACCAGCGACTTGGAGTGATGTCAAATGTGATGGACTGTGAATTCACTCTTGATGCAGATTTCTAACGATGAACTAGAAGAAATATTATTTATTTTTGGGACAGTTTCATTATGTTCTGCAGAACAAAATATAAGTCAGTTGACTTTTTTTCTTTTGCTTTTAAGTCCAAGAAGAAAGTAAACAATAAACTGTAGACTTTTAAGGTTTTGTTTTATTTTGGTTTCTTTTTTTCATTCAACAGGTGTAAAACCTCTAGAATTTTAAAGATGTTTTAGATATTTTTACATTTTACTTGATTACTGTACCTAAGTATTGTTTTGGGGGATTTGTTCTTCACGCAAGTGCAATTTAAACTGACTACTTGTACTTTTACTTGATTACATTTCAGAGGAAAAAACAGTACTATATACTCCTTAGAATTTTATTTCAACTTTATTACAGAAGTACTCGTTACATTTTTGCATTTTATTTTCTTTTACACAGTAATCAGGTAAGTTTCAGCTTCACTTATCAGAATCAGAATCAGAATCAGAATGAGCTTTATTGCCAGGTATGTTTTATAACTTTCATCAGGGAAATGTCTGGCTTCAATTTTCTTGAAGCCAGTTTAATTATTTTTGTCTAATTTGATACAACCGTTAGCTGTCTGTGCAAAATATTAGCTGAATGCACAAGATTGAATGCAAATAAAATCAATAATGAGATTTTAAATACAGTTAATATTTTGGCCATGATCGCTTTGTATTTATTAAATGTTGCAAATCTCCAAAAATATTGGATGATGGAAAGTGGATAAGTGGTATTATAATTATATACTGAGTAACAATAGGGGCTGTCAATTAATTCTTTTTTTAATCTAAATAATTACATGATTTGCCTATTAATTAAAGTAATGAATGAAAATCAGTCACATACCAATATTTCAGAAATAACCTTTAATGCCCCAAATAAACAATAAGAAAAGTGCAATTATTGTTGCAAACAATGCTTGAATAGAAAGCACAAAATGTTACTTTAAAAGTCAGTATTGTGTGTTTTATTTCCATGTCACTCAACACATGTACTTGTATTCTGACTTGAATATGTTTTTGGCTTCTGCATCACATCTTGCTCTGAAGATGAAAAATTAAAATTCTGTTATTATTTACTGACCCTCACGTCATCAGACGTCCCTTTCTTCAGATGAACACCAATAAATATTGTTAGTCCATGTAATGCAAATATACAGGACCTCTTCAAAAACCACACAAAGTGTAAACGAGAGTAAAATTTAAAACATCCGTGTTTTTCTTACACGCCCCTAAAATTTCACCTAACCCTTTAAGACGACATTGATTCATCAACTGGGGTTTTATGGCTTGCTGTATAGTTTTAGACGCATCTTCTTTGGACGTCCTGTACACTTACATTATATGCAGAAAGATGGATTATTTTCCAAAAGTCTTTCTGAAGAGAGTCTTATACGGCATATACATGTGGGATGGCATGAGAGTGTAATGGATGGCGTATCTCTTTAAGGGCTGTATTTTTTTGTGTTCTACTGTGCTGCATATTAATTGATGTTGTGTCCATTTTGTTTTTTCCCTTTACCAAACCTTTCTATCTATCTAACTAAACCTTTGTAAGATAACTCAATATGATAAAACAAGAATATCCTCTCTTATTTTTATTTTTTAGGTTACTTCTACTTTTTTAATACTTGAGTACAATTTAAAGTTGTACGTTTTTGCTTTTAAAGTAGAATTTTCACTCAGTATCTGTACTTTCACTCAAGTATAGTTTTGAGTACTTTTTACATCCCTGCAATTAGCCTATAAGTTATAGGCTACAATGAATTTCTCTGGGTGCAAATGGAAACCCTGCAGGCCTATTAACATACAGGGAAGAAAACACACACACACACACACACACACACACACATATATATATGCAGTGCATTCCGAAAGTATTCAGACCCCCTACAGTTTTGTTATGTTGCAGCCTGATACTACAGTTGTTTACATTATTTTTTTCTCATTAATCTATACTCTGTACCTCATAATGACAAAGTGAAAACAGAATTTAAAAAAAGTCTGTAAATTTATTAAAAAGAAAAAACTGAAATATCACATTTACATAAGTATTCAGATCCTTTACTCAGTACTTAGTTGAAAGGGACTTTGGTTTAAGTCTACCTTTTGGAAATCTTCTTGAGTGTTATTTTGTAGCTAAGGCTATTGAGACTTAAATCAGCGTCCTTTTCTGACTAATGACAAACCCAGATTGAATAAACAGATTACTACATGTTTATTTGTTTAGTGATCTTATTTAAAATACAGTTACCACTGGTCTATATAATGATTATTATAGATCAGTGATAGAACCAATTATTGAAACAAATTTTGATGGGTTAAAACGGAATTCATATCATAATTTGGCAATAGACTGATGAGGTTAGTAAATGCAGCCTATTTTTTTTCCCCTCAAAAGTATCAGTAAATGTATCAGAAAAATAAATGAATGAATTAATAAATAAATGGAAACATAAGCCAAGGAAAGCAAACAAATCAATAGAATCATCAAAAATAAATCACATTGTTTCAAGAATCTGTCACATTTTTATTACTAATTAAAAAAAGAGAACTCAGTCTACCTCAATCAAAAAAAAAAGTGACAGTAGGAAGTGAGGCCGGAATCTTTTTATTTATAGATAAAAAATTATCAAACAAAATAAAAAACAGGATATATTCCTTAGACTTTTTTTCTCATTTTGATGACCAAAAATGCTGCGCCCTCCAAAGCCGCCCAAAAGTGTTGTCTAGGTAGTCAGATCGATATGTTTTGAGACACAGCCATAATGTAAGAAGGCGAGAAATATCAAAGCCACTCCCTCCTGCCATTCACTCTCTCCCGCTGCCAGCAGCAGCTCACTCTCCGTCTCTGCGTGCGGTTCTTGTCCGCCTGCTTAAAATGGACCAGGACTGGCAAGCTTTAGCCACACAGCGAGCCGAGTACGTGTCTGACCGTATCCGCGGGTTGCTGTCCTCCGGCCTGGACTTCCTCCGGCTCGAGCTGGGGGTTGATCTGGGGATAAAGCCGGAGCAGTATCCGTCGTGGCTGATTCTGAGCGCGGCGCTGATCGGGCTGACGGTGCTGGTGCTGATCGCGGCCTGTGGACGGAGGAAGCGCCGAGCTGCGCCCGTTCCTGTGAGTCCCAGCACCGCCGCTGCCGAGACCCCGGTTAAGGCCGCCGTACCACCGAAGTCTGTGAAGACCGAGCCGAGCGAACCGAAAAAGAAGAACAAAAAGAAAGCAGCCGAGAAGGTAAGCGGCCTGCGATTGTGATCTGCTAGTGTTAATGGCTGTGATTCAAAACTAAAACAGCTGTCTTCCTAGACAGCCTTTTTGTGATACCCAAAAATGAAATCTAGATAGGCAGCCTGCTAGGTTTTGAGATGCATTGTCTTTCTAAAAATCATATTTAGCTGACTTGAGTTTGATAGAGGTTTGCACGAGTAAGTTAACGTTAGCTGCTAACGTGCTAACCGTAGACTGTATAAGGTGCTAACCTGTCAAAACCGGTAAGAATCAGCTGTTCACACAGAAATTATTTTCCAATCATAACTATTTAATTCTATATTGCTTATCGTCACCTTTAGTATTAAATTAACAAATCTGGCGTTGTTATTTGATTACGAGTAATAGTATTAAAACAGACACGAAGGCGGTAGGAGAGCCACGTAGCACAGTATAGCAGACACGCTCATAAGTTTCGTTTTGGCTAAACACCACCTTTTTATGAGTCTAAACTATAAAGGATCCTCGTAGTGACTGTTTTCATGGCCTAAGGGTTGTTTTCAAGCACTGTCAGTTGATAGAGGAAGGAAATGAGGAGTTTGTAATTGTTGGTGTGTAACTGTCATGCGCCCGCAGCAGAAGGCCCAGGCCAATGGACAGACAGTGGCTGGACCTCAGGAGGAAATCAAAGTCATTGAGGAGAAAAAGAAACTCCCTCCTGCACCAGCACCAGCACCTGCTGATACAAAGGTTGGTCCACCTAGTATTCATGCTGGTTTCGTTGAGGAAGTGTATTCGTTTATGTTTATATATTAGTAGTAACAATAATTGTAGTAACTAAGGCATTTTTGGCACAGCTGTGGTGCATTTCTTTTGCTTTTCTGAGGAGCAAAACAGTTTAGAGATCTTTGCAGATTTGCTAACAACGTCGAACATACATATACCGTGATTTGACTGAAAAACTTGTATACCTCTGTGATGTAACGTAAACCTGCAGCTCAAGTCAGAAACAACATGGAAGTAATATAAACAAAGCAAAAGAATCATACTGTGAACAAAAAATCCAACTCGCGAACCTTTCCCAATACCATCCCCCCTCTCTCTCCCACCTTGCTTCCTGTCTACATACTGTCCTATCTTAATAAAAGCAAAAAAAATAAAAAATACATAAAGAATAAATATTAGTATTGCAACTCTAATGTAATGATAAAACACTTACAAAGGAAAATGAAATGCATTATTTGTTTACCTACATGCCATGTGACAATCAGAGAACCATGAACAATCAAATCTGTTGTTAAACTATTCAAAATTCATTAAGGGTTCTCATGGGGTGCTTGTGAATATATTTTGCAAGTGAAATTAGACAAATGGGTTTGGCAGACAAAACGTTTGTGAATATCTGCACTATAGACTCTTTATAGACAGTAGATTATAGATATGGTATTATCCATATTATATATTATTGTTTGTTTACACAGTGCTTCAAATCTGCATGCCCTTTCCAAAGTCGTAGTTCAAGTGTCATCTGGAATCAGTTTCTCACTTGTAAATATGACATCGCTTGGTCATTCGTGTGTTCTGAATTCGTAATTATGAAATTTCCAACTCCACTTGAAGGGCACATTAACAATACTTGACCGGTTTGGAAAGTACATTTGACTCTTTTGCACAGTAGTGCTATGAAGGCTTGAATCAGCCTTGGTTCAGTCTGTAAACAGTGATTGAGAGAGGTCGGGTGTCAGTATCGGCCTGTAATTTGATAATGCAGATACAGCTAATGTAGGGTACATCCAGAGGGGAAACTGTGTACTTTGTCCCAAGGCCTCAAACTTTAGGCTTAGTTTTTACAAGGCCGAATACATATTTTAAGAAATCTTTATAACAGTCCATCACTATGTGCCTGTAGTAAGTGTGAGAGTAAGAAATAATACTTTGTTTCAGACTTGTCAGGAAGTTCTAAATCAGTGTTTTTGGCTCTTATGTAGACCAAGAAAAACAAGAAGAAACCAAAACCAGAGGTGAAGCCAACCCAAGATGTTTCCTCCACCGATGGCAAGGAACCTGATGAAGGTATGAAACTGGGTTACTAGACTGTAGTGGCAACTTCACATTTTCAGTATGAAGGTTGTTTGTTAGTGATTAGTCCCAGAAATTCAAATGAGCTGCTTATACGAGTAGGGCTGGGCAAAAAAAAAAAAAAAAGTTTTTAAATTTCGTCGTTTCAATATCGATTCTCAAAAGCCGCGAATCGATCTTTT